TTTACTACCTGCTAGAGTTTCAACAAAAGTTTGTAACAGATTTAATGTATCGGAACAAAAAAGACATGCCATGGACTATAGCGCATGTTGTTTTTAATTGTATTAGTTCATAGGGAAATTTGCAGTTGTATGAAATATGTCTCAGACTTGAATCTCTTGCTTCCCACCAGCTGTATTTATAGATGCTGTGTAGCTTTATGTACTTTCACTGTACTGTACAGGTGGACAGAAAAATCATAAACCTAATTTTAGGGCTCGATTGTGGAGTTGCTGCAAACTGTGGACAGCCCAGGGTTGTAACTGTGACTTGGAGACTTCCAATTTGATCCTTGGTCTCTCCCATTGACTCCAAGGAGAACCTTTTAACTGACTCTGGTTAATTCCCTACCCTTACACTGGTTCAGGGGGAAGGGGTGGAGGTAACGCTCCACTCACCTATGCAGGACTGGGAGTAACGTTCTGTGCAAGCTGTTCCATAACTATGATACAAGTAGCCCATGGAGGGGAGGAAAGCGGTGTGCCTTACATCTCCTTGGTGCCCTGTCTGAATGGTTGTTTCCTCTGATGCCTTTACTCCTGAGGCTGATTTCAATTAAGGTAAATAATTTGCATATTATTATCTTAGACAAATATATGCACATGAAACAAACACTTTGCTCTGATACAGCCTGAACATAGTTCTAAGCAGAGTTCAGATCCAGATCAGAATTTCTTGACATAACCATTGCTGGCATCATTGGAATAAAGAGGTTCCCAAAGCAATTTGGAAGCCGAGTTTTGTGTGGTTATTTACAGATAAGAGTTTGGAAGAGAATGAAACGATTAGGAATTTGTGAAGGAATTTGGGACTTCTTGCTGGTAGCTGAAATCTGTTTCCAAGTGGGAATATTTTCTATATGTCACTTGGCAAAAATTAACTCAAGATGACTTGGCGTTTGGCACCATACACAGTGTGTTTGCCAGGTTATCCATTAATCATACATGAATGGAAGCAAGGTTCTTGGCACTGACATAATGTCAGTGGTACACACTGAATAGCAATAACTCATACTGCATGTTAGTACTTGTATGGTAGCATAGAATTCTTTAACAAGCAGGAAAAAAATCTTTATTTGGATTAAAGCTGTTTGGAGAAAAGAGAGTTTCTTAAAAACCGACAGCATATTTGTATTTTACTTTTTGAGGCAGCATTTCTTAATAGTTCAGACTTTCTATTAAGAGATCATTCTTCAGAAAACAATTGGTTGCGATTTTTGAAGCTGTGCAGTCAGTTCAAAGGAAACATAGTATTCAAATTAATAGCAGCACATGGCTAAATCACCTACACTTTGTTCTTTCAAATGCCCACTCATGAGATGGGGATGGTCTCGTAGTAGGTGTTGGGATAGCGCAAGTGCCAGTCACAAAGAGGCTGCAATCTTAGTTGGGGCTCCTGAGCAGTGGTACAGTTCAGATATCAGTCTTTCTTTTAAAACATAACCTTTTCTTCATTTAACTTGCTATCTTCTGCCTATATGTTCCTGGATTCCTGGCCAGCAATGGGGAAAGAACCTCTGTAGGAGGATGGTAGTGTAAGGGCATGTATATAACTGTCTTAGTCATTTACAAGTTTCTGATGAGGACTTTTTAATTGGTAAAGACAGATATTGGACATCTGCACTTTCAGCAGTCATCTTTTAAAAATATAGTCATTTAGGATCAGGCCTTCATTTTGTGTAAATTGTCATAGTTTCATTAAAGTCAATAGAGATGAACCAAAAGGTGCTATGTGAGAACCTGACATTGGTATCTGTAGAGAGAACCCTTATGCTGAATACCTCTTTACACAAAAGTAGCTCAGGAGTACTTCAAGTAGAGCTGTGTAGAGCTTTTGTAACAAATTCCTGCTGTATCTTGAAGATGAATCAATGGCTCCATCAGTCTATTCAATCTTCACCTTATGTGATCTCATATCTCAACAGTACAAGGCAACCATGTATTAGCAGAATGACTTATATGTCCAAGTTTATCTTTTTTTTTTTTTTCCCCTGGACAGAGACCGCATAGAGCAGGGGACATGCTGAAAGGTGTTGCTGAAACTGACAAGTTTCCTGGTCAGAGTTCTGTTACAAAACTGATGGAAATGATTAGGTTCCTAAAATGAACGGTCAAAGTCCAGTGATTTATTGATCTGGTACAGTGAGTTTCACCAGACCAGATGAAACTCACTGGTTTGTCTGATTTTGTGAATCTTTGGATTTATATGAACATAATACAAGAGGGTCACTAATACTGAACTTATCAGACTTCCTCTAAACACTTATGCAAATCAGAAAGAATTTTTTATTCACAAAGGGATTTCTTGATTTTCCACCTGGAAAATTTGTGCATGTGCACGTGTGTGTGTTGGGGAGGGAGGGGTGGGTGGGAGTAGGCAGGTAAGGGAAACAGATTTGGAGTGATGTCTACACATGTGTTTGCATATATACATATATGTCTTCCTATAAAAACATATATACGTATAATAATAAAAGCTCTGTGGGACCGAAGTAGAGACTATTTCTTGGTTGCTTTTATGTAATACAGAGTTAATTGTCCAGTAACCTGCAAAGTCAAACTTGTTAACTTAATTTAAACTTAATTTATTTCTTGCTCGGCTCCATCCTCCATAACTATCTTAGTCAAGTTATGACCTATAAGTACGCATTTGCAGGCAAGAGTCAGATCCTTAGCTGGTGTAAATCAATGGAGCGGTTCTGATTTGTACCAGCTGAGGACATGGCTTAGCATATGCTTATTGTATTCAACCATTCTTACATTTGTATTTCTAGTAATGTTGTCCTGTAGGGCCAGGCCAACTCTCAGGATCTCAAAATTGCGCTGTTACATGGGAGGGTGTGACACAATTGCACACACACGCACACACACTACTAGACACAAAAACACACTCTAGGCGCATACACATATACACTCTGCCAACTCAGGTGCATACACATTCAAGATTACCAGTCTAAACACATGCACACCTATTACTAATTCAAGCACCTACACACTATATACACCAAAAGTTAGACAAAAATCAATTGTCAATACCTGCAACCCACTACGCATACATGGATTACTAATTCATATACCACGCACCTGTTGATTGATTTCTTTTTATATATATAATATATATATATATTTATTTGCCAGTTCTCTCACACACATCATACACCTACACATACAGACAGGTGAGTTCCTAACTTGGGTGGTGTGGTGTGTGTCTGTGTGCTTGGGGTACTTGGGTTACTAGAAGGAGGGAGATGGATGGGGGTTAAGATGAGAGAGGGAAAAATAAGATAGTGAAAATACCGGGAGTGAAAGCAGCTGGGGCTGGGATTAGAACCAGCAGACTGAAGGGGAGCTGGGGTTACTTAAGGTCAAGTGGCCCTAGGGTTACTCGAGGTCGCTGGTGCTGGGGTGAAATAAAGGGAAGAAGCCTGGTGGCAAGGAGGAGAGAGCCAGGAAAGAGAAAGGCAGAAAGGTGGGAGATGAGGGCCTGAAACTGAGGCAGAAAGCTGGGAGATTGGGCTGGAAACTGAGAGGCAGAAAGCTGGGAGATCAGGGGGCTGATAAGTGGTGGCAAGGAGGAAACAGACAAAAACTGAACTTGGGGTTTCAAAATAACAGGTTTAATAAAACAGACAACACACTACATGGCCCCATGAAGTTATTGGTGCATGCACGCACACCAGGAGAGGAAAAAGGCTTGGTAGAGGGATTGAAGTCAAGGTGTGTAGGAACAGAGTCCAGGTCCTTTGCTTGAAAGAAGGTGGGCGATAGCTACCTATCCTGGGCTGTGAGTTGATCCTCGATGGCCAGGCAGGGTCTTCTCCAGCAGGGTGTTGTCCAGAAGGGGTTGTCATCAGGGCCTCTGGGTGGATAGGTGGTGTTGCATGGTGCTGGTCCAGATGGAGAGGGTGTCCCACTGGGTCTGTCTTCACTGCCCCTTTTTATAGGGGCAGACCTTCTATGATCCTAGTGGCAGGGGCATGCCCAGGCAAGGGTCAGCCCCTGGTGTACTAAGCATGTGCATTCCAGGCGAGGACATGCAGTTTCAGGTGTATTTAATAGTGAGTTGGCTGGTTTCTGGAGCAGTCTCTGTCTTCCAAATCTTGAGCCAGGGAAGGGCAATGCAGGGTGATGGCTGGGTCATCGAGTTGATGGTTTGGTCATTCAGAGTGACCTATTTTTAGACCTACTATCATTGTCTGTCAATCACCCACTCACACATGGAACCAGTTTGCATGGGAGGAGGGTCATGAGTCATACAGTTACAACAGAGTTACGATGGGGTATGCCCGGGCAGGGGACACAAGATGGAGACTTGACATTACAAGGTGAGGGCTTGACATGACTTATGCTGACTTACGCATGTAGGCCTAAAAAAAAAGTAAAAATCAGTAAAACAGTAATATAAAACACTAAAAATCAATATAGGCATAATAACTATATAATATAAAACAATGGATATCTATAAAGAAGGCGAGAGAAAAAAAAAAACAAAAAAAACTTGCTATCAAAATAAAATGCTAAAGCTTACCCTATGTCTTAGCTTACTCATACTTATCTATAGGGAGTAGAGAGGCACAGAAAAAGTCAGACATAGTTGGGGGAGGGAGGGAATGTATTTTAAAATAATAATAAAAAAGAAAAACTCAGAGTTTTGCTACAGTAGCTCATTGTTTTGTATGAATCTGTTCCCTGCTTACAAAGTCCAGATTTAGATCAGAACCCTTCCAAGTTTAGGGCTGTTTGCACTTCCAGTATAGTTTCATGCTTGTCTCCATTGTTTATTATAGTAATTGCCAGTGATTTAAAAAAGGAAGTAGTAATGGTTTATACATGGATTTAGAAAAAAGAAAAAAAAAAAGATAATGCAGGTACACCAGTCTTCAGCAATATATCTAGCATTTAGTCCTTATCAACCATTTCTCAACTTGGTCTTTAATTCTAACCCTCTTCTTCTTCTTTTATAGTTTTTTGCATCATATTCATCGTGGCATTTCACCTCCTAGCTACTGGCCGTGGCAAAGGAAATCCCAGCTTGGCTAACTTTGGAGCTCTCCCAAACCTGTTTGGAGCTTGTTCACTGGCTGCTGTATCTCATGCCACCCTTCCTCAGATCATCCCTCCAATACAAAACAAGGCCTATCTTGGTTTTGGTATTGCTATTGTCTTCATAGCTGTGGGGACTCTCTATGCCCTGCTTTCATTAACAATCATGTTCACCTTTGAAAATGACAAGATTGAGACAATTGTCCTGTTAAATTTTTTGGACTGCTCTGTTGCTCCTGGGGTGTTCTTCATTTATTTCTTAGGACTCTATACCACTTTTAAGGTGAGTGCCATCTTTCCCTTGAATGCAGTGACTTTAAGGGATAATCTATGGGCTATGTTTAGCCCATTCCAGTGTTCTCATATCTGGATTGTTGAAAGACTCATCTTTCCGATATTGACCATTCTCCCACCAATTGTGATTGCAATGGTTACAGAGAATATAGAATTGATTGTAGGAGTAACTGGCTCTTATGCTGCAACCATTATCCAGTTTGTTATCCCACCTCTATTGGTGTTCTTCAGCCGGAGAGATACCCTTGAGAAGTTTGGCCCCAGTGTTCGTATCAAATTTGCTTCTCCATTTCAACACAACATGTGGATAATTATAGTCATCATCTTTGCTGTATTTGCTCTAATCACAGTGACAATATTGTATATAACACATCAAAGTTAATAAAAATATCTGTGTTACATAATAAAAACATATAGCAAGTGAACTGGTTATCCACAATATGTCATACATACATATTTTTGTGCTAAAAACAGAAACATAACACCATATTATTGGTCGTTACTCAGGCAGGTTATACACAGAATTGATCTGTATTACACCTTCATTTTATGTTCTAACCTCCTCACATAATTTTTATGTTCTAACTCTCCTGAGAAGTCTTTCCAAAGCAAATGATGTGTTACATAGTTGTTACACTTTTATTTAGTAATAACATAAAATGTGTTGTATTGAACTGGTTAAGATGGAGGGTGGAATTAGCCACTGTTACTAATGCAGTGATTCTCAAACAGGGTGCCGTGGTACCCTGAGGTACCTTGAGATCTTTCTGTTGCAGGGTGCCATATAATACTAGCTGTTCAATTCACAAAAATCATTCACAAGATAAATCCAGAGATTTCAAAAAGGAATCCACAGTGTTAAAAGCATTCTGACCTGAACCTTTTTGAGTTCTTTGCAACAGAAGAATTACTCTATTATTTGTCTGTAGTAAAAAATCTAGTGAAAACTAAGAGTTGGCATTTTCTGAGGAGTGCTTTGAGTCTATTGAGGAGTGTCTTGATCTAAAATCATTGAAAACCACCGCACTAATGAAATGCAGCAACTCCTAGGGCAGGGGTTGGCAAACCCCAGGACAAATGTCAGTATGTGGCAAGTGCAGGTATTTTGCTTGGCACACCTGCCTTGGGGTGGATGGCAGGGAAAAGGCTGGGGCTGTACTGAGACAACAGCGAATGGGCTCCTTGCAGCTCCTCTGCCATGCACCCCTGGCATGCTAACATTTTACAAGTTGAAGTTGCGACTGCTTTTGGCACTCTGCCTAAATGTGTTGCCAACTCCTGTCCTAGGCTATAGATCTACACCTAGAAAACAGCTGTTTAACCTAAAGTAAAACTGAACAATAGTTTGCAGCAGAAAGTGAGGAGGAAGAATATATCTGCAGGGTGAATCTGAATAGTTGATCTTACAGTAGTGACTGTTAAGAAATTTACATTGCATGACAGCATTACTAGGTGTCTAGTTCTCACTTAGATAAAGCAAGGCACATTCAGATCGCAATCCTGTGTCCATCTGTGATGATGTGTGTTTGTGTAGATTCATTCCCTTGTCAGTATTAGAGAATTGTTGTGAGAATAAATAAATGAATGATTATAAAGTGATTGAAGTACTTGGATTTATTATTATTGCTATGTATAATTCCCATTGGTAAACATTCCTTATAACTGGATGAAAGCATTTTAACGAACTGAGGAAGTGCCAGGCGAGGCATAGGCTACCCATGATTATAACTGTCTGGGAGTATGATGCAGCCTGAGTCCACTATAGTTTCCCATGCTCTGTGGTGTTCTTTACTAGTGAGTTTATTTATAATAATTAACAAAGCTTGTGAACTAAAAACTTTTTTAAAGCTCTTGAGAAAAAGTCTTAGTCCAACAGCATGAAACTGCTGTCATTAAGACAAATTAGTAGAGCTCTGTGCAGCAAACAGAGCTAGAATAGGTCTTTTAAGATGCATATTCATAGAGCCATGATACAAATCTGCTCTTTGGGAAACTTCAGAAACCTAAGCTACTGAAGAACGTGACTTCTTGGTTAAAAGGTGCTTCATGGAAAGTGCACATCATGCTGTTGTGTGCATTGATTGTTGAACAATTTCTGGATATAGTTCTGGTTGTTCATGTTAGCTTAAATTGTTGGGGTCCTAACAGCTAGAGATCTAGGCTTTTTCTCCATCTGTAATCACCAACAGATGAGACTTTTGGGGTGAGAGAGATGCCAGGACATTGTTAGTGAAGGATTCTGAACTTCAGACTGTTTTCCTGTCAGAGTCCAGAATTCATGCTCTTCATGGTATGCAACATTCATCAGTTGTAATGGAGTTGGGAGGGAAGTTGGATTGAAGTATGGGACTGGTCAAAGGAAGGATGGCTTTATTGTGCTTTTGTTGATGTTTAGATGTCACTGGGACTGATTTACAAGGCAAGTTGATTGTACGTTTAAAAAAAAGAAAAGAAAAAATAGTGCAAGGAAGTGGATATAGTGGGACACATGCTTTCAAGAGAGACGAATAACTTTTTTGGAAAAGTGTGGAGACATTTGGGTTGCTTTGGTTTTTTGCTGCCTAACTTGAGACACCAGAAAAATTAATACATTAAACATGAAGTGCTGAGCACCCATTTCAGCACATCAGGTCTTCTGAATATGTCAGCGGTAGTCAACCTTTTGTCCAGTGGGCTGGATGAGCAGTGCCTGGTCACTCTGCTGGCTGGATCTGGCTGGTAGATTCAATCTGGTGACTAGAGCTGGCACAGTAGGGGCCCATTTTGCCATGTGGAGGGGGGCTGGAAGCAGCCTGGCCCCAGTCTAGCTGTGCTGGGGAAGGGGGCTTGGCCTAGCCCCATGAGAGGGTGAGAAGGGGTTGTGATCAGCCCCAGGGGGGAGGGGACATGACCCAGCCCCAACCTGGCCAGGCAGGAGGCAAGGGGGTGTGGCCCAGACTCGTAGGAGGGGAAAGAAGGGGCATGGGCTGGCCTTGAATCAGCTGTGCAGGGGGAGGGGACATGGCTTGGCCCCAAGCCAGCAGTGCGGAGGAAAGGGAGTGTGTCCTGGCCCCAATCTGGCCATGTGGGGGGAAGGTTGTGGTTTAGCTCTGACCCACTGCATGGATCTTAGGATTTTGGCAGTGGGGATGGCTGGCAGTATTAACTGCTAGTGGTATGAACTGGTATCTGCTGATATTAACTGCCACTGTTTCCCCTGCTGCCAAATTTTCTGACCCATGGGAAGCTCTGGGGTCAGATTCCAAGGCACTGCAGGCTGCATTTGGCATGAGGGCCAGATGTTGAGCAGTCCTGGTATATGCAACTAACAAGCGACCACTTATTTTTTAGGGGTCTTTCCTGGTTAGAGTAACTAAAATATCTGTCTATTTTTTTTTTCCAAAGCTAATAAGCTTTGGTATTACTCCAGATGACAGCAGTGATTTGGACTGTCAAGATCTGAAGGGGTATCTTCATAGTTAACAGGTTCTCCTTCCCTTGCTCATGTTGTGTTATTCTTTATTGTGTGAAGCGTCTCATTAAAATTAGTGGAACTACTTTCAAATAAGGTACTATTCAAGGTGAGCTAGGGTGAGCCAAATAGCAATTTGCAAGTGAAAAATCTTCCTGAGGAAGTAGTTTTAAATAGGTTTATTATTTTTAAACCTACAACTCCTGTGTAAGTTGCTGCTTTGTTCAGCTCCCTGGATATATCACATTATCTCCAGGGATCTGACTTCCTTGTCAGGTCATGTACCCACAACACATTTCTACTGCTACACTCAGATTTTACAGCAACATAAACCAGGATCACACAGATGAAGTAAACCCCTACACCTTTGTAACTACCTCAAAACGGTGGTGAGTGATGTAAGTTATATCAGTATAAATCTTGTCTGTCCATTTCCATCCAACAGCAGCTCTTTGCTGTAGACAACCATGCTATTACATGCCTCCTGTCATCTAGTAGTGATCATCTAGTAGCGGAGTCCCCCAGGGCTCGGTCCTAGGGCCAGTGCTGTTCAACATCTTCATTAGTGACCTGGACGAGGGTGTGGAGAGCACCCTGTTCAAGTTCACTGATGACACCAAGCTGTGGGGTAAAGTGAATACACCGGCAGGCAGGGACTGCATCCAGGCAGACCTGGATAGGTTGGAGAAGTGGGTGGATCTGAACAGGATGCGGTTCAACAAGGACAAGTGCAGGGTGCTGCACCTGGGGAGAGGGAACCAGCATTATGGTTATAGGTTAGGGGCTGACCCTCTCAGCAGCACAGAGGCAGAGAGGGATCTTGGAGTCAGGATTGACTCCAGGATGAATATGAGTCGCCAATGCGACAAAGCAATAGGCAGAGCCAACCGCACCCTGTCCTGCATCAACAGGGGCATCACTAACAGGTCCAGAGAGGTCTTGCTCCCCCTCTATGCAGCACTGGTCAGGCCGCAGCTGGAGTCCTGTGTCCAGTTCTGGGCGCTGCACTTCAAGAAGGATGTGGAGAACCTGGAGAGGGTCCAGAGGAGGCCACTCGTATGGTTGAGGGCCTCTGTGGCCAGCCCTGTGAGGAGAGGCTGAGGGACCTGAATCTCTTCAGTCTCCACAAGAGGAGACTGAGGGGGGACCTTGTGGCTGCCTACAACTTCATCAGGGGCCACCAGCAGGGACTCGGGGAAAGTCTGTTCACCAGGGCCCCCCTTGGAGTCACCAGGAACAATGGCCACAAGCTGAGGAGGATAGGTTTAGGTTAGATATTAGGAAGAACTACTTCACGGTAAGGGTGGCCAGAGCCTGGAATAGGCTTCCCAGAGAGGTGGTGCTCTCACCTTCCCTGGAAATCTTCAAGAGGAGACTGGATAGGCACCTGGCTGGGGTCTTATGACCCCTACCACCCTCAGTGCTCCTTCCTGCCCATGGCAGGGGGTCAGACTAGATGATCTGTCTAGGTCCCTTCCCACTCATTGATTCTATGATTTGTAATAGTGCCTATTGCAAGTAACTACTCATGGTTAACCATTTTAACTTGGTGTTAGTAGTGCTCCTGTGACATGCCCATTCACTTTTATACAATATAGGACAATTAACTGTTGGATGTATCCATCTCATTCCCTTTGAAACGGCAAAAGTCTTAGAAGCACCTCCAAAGGCTGAATTTGGTCCGTAAGTGTTTACCTTAATTACTCTGGTAAGTAGAAGATGCTGTTCAGAAGGTTTACACTTTGCAATGTTTGTGATATTATGGCCAGAACGCTGGTACTTAAAAGATGGCTACACGGAAATTAAAGAAAGGCTAGTGTTAAAATGCAAGTACACATGTTAGATATTTTAAGACTCTATTTCTCAAACTCCTAAGTAAATCTCTGAATATAATTTGAATTTAATTAGAGATCTCCAGCTGAGCTACTGCTGACACTACTCAAAGTTCACTTGTACATTATTAAAGTGAGGAACACGCTAGTCCCAATAATTCAAGGAGTAATAATTTCTTTCTAAGTGGAGTTTAGGGAATGAATAAGTGTTGTTTGACTGTTGGTACTTGGTAACAAGTTGCAATTTCTTTGTGTTAATAACAAATTATACCAGATGGCCCCGATGTCTATGCTGATGGCATGAAATTATACAATGTATTTGACTGGGGGTGCTTTTACTGTACCTATCCTCTCCTGCTCTTTCTCATAATGCCTTAAATGTTAGACTTCATTTTGGAAAGGCCTCATTTATTTTTATTGAGTGTTTGAAGTATCTGAAACCTTTCCCAAGGTAGGTGGTACTGATCTCATAACAGGGAGATATGTATTTCATTCTAGGTATTACCTCATTGCCATCCAAGGCAACATATATAGAAAAATCAGCCTGATCTACCTGTTCTATGTACAAACATGCAAGTAATGA